CTAATTGTCTCTCTGATGGAACATAGGACATACATACTAACCCTTCCTCCAGTTTTTCTTTGATGAAATGTCTATCAATTTCAATACGCTTTGTCCTATCATGTTGTATAGGATTACGAGCTATATTAATAGCTGACTTATTGTCACAGTAAAGCTTCATACGACCCTCCCATTTGACTCTCAAATCATCCAAAATGATCCTCAGCCAAAGTAATTCGCATAATCCTTGAGCAATTGCCCTCAATTCTGATTCTGCTGTTGACCTTGCCACTACATTCTGCTTCTTGCTCCTTCATGTCACTAGGTTACCTCCAAGAAAAGTACAATACCCTGCAGTTGATCTTCTATCCACTAGGAGCCAGCATAGTCAGCATCGGTGTAGGCTTTCAAAGTGCGAGTGTCATTCCTTTTGAACAAGATTCCTTTCCCTGGATTGCCTTTCAAGTAGTGCAGTACCCTGTAAGCAGCTTGAAGATGAGGTTCTCTTGGGTCATGCATGAATTGGCTGATCAAACTTACAGAATATGCTATGTTTGGTCGAGTGTGAGCAAGGTATATAAGTCTGTCAACCAACCTCTGGTACATTCTTTTATCCACAGCTGTTTCTTCTTTAGCTTCTCCCAATTTATAGTTTGGATCTATTGGAGTAGAAATCGGCTTACACCCAATCTTCCCTGTTTCTGCCAATTAATCAAGCACGTACTTTTGTTGAGATATGAAGATCCCTTGTCTGGAATATGCCACCTCAATACCGAGGAAATACTTCAATTTCCCTAGTTCTTTTATTTCAAATTCTTTCATTAGTCTCAGCTTTAATTCATGCTTCTCTTTTTCATCATTTCCAGTCATTATGATGTCGTCCACATAGACTAAAAAAGCAGTCACTCCCCCTACAGCTGAATGCTTAATGAAAAGCGTGTGGTCACCTTGGCTTTGTTTGTACCCAAATTCCTTCGTGACTTTTGCAAATCTGCCAAACCATGCTCTAGGAGATTGTTTTAACCCATAAAGGGCTTTTTTCAGTTTGCACACCTTGTTACCAGTGTCCCCTTCAAATCCTGGTGGAATGTTCATGTAGATTTCCTCATTTAAGTCACCATGGAGGAATGCGTTCTTAACATCATATTGTAGCAGTTGCCAATTAAAGTGAGCAGCCAATGATAACAAAATTCTTACTGTGTTCATTTTTGCAACTGGAGCAAATGTTTCTTGATAATCCACCCCATAAGTTTGAGTGTATCCTTTGGCTACTAACCTTGCTTTATATCTTTCAAGGGATCCATCAGCCTTGTACTTCAATGTAAAAATCCATTTGCAATCAACAATGTTTTTTCCCTTTGGTTTATCAACGATCTCCCATGTTTTATTCTTCTCTAATACATTCATCTCTTCTCTCATAGCATCCCTCCATTCCCTTTTTGACAATGCCTCAGACACATTGTGAGGGATGGCAATGGTGTTCAAACTCATAATGAATCCTTTTTGGGCTGGCGATAGGCGCTTAAAAGAGACATAGTGATATAGAGGATAGAGTGGTCGTTTAGTGCATTCTCTGGTTTCTTTTCTAACAGCAATGGGAAGATCCAGAACAATAGTTGAATCAGTGGACTTTTCAACAGATTGTGTGTGTAAAGGTGGATCTGATCTTACCGTGATTTCTTTCTCAGAATTTAGATTGGATTCTTGGACTTGTGTCAGTTCAGGAACGGTCTTACTCCTTGAATACACCTGAGGAAACTTTGGAAAATTGTGAGTGATGCTGGTTGGAGAAGGAGATGATATGGGTTCAGTGACAGGATCGGGTGACTCAGATGTGACTGGTTCAGAGGACTCAGGTTCAACCGGAACATGAGGAGGGTTTTGTTCTGAGTGACTGCGGGGTGGCACATGCGGAAGGTCAAGGGTTTTAAGTGGTTCGAAAGACTCACAAGTACTATCTTCCATCATTGAAATCTCCCCCTGAAGAGAGGACTTGAAAAAAAGTCTATTTTCTGTGAAAGTGACATCCGCAGAGATGTAAAATTTTTTGATCAAGGGGTTGTAACATTTGTATCCCTTTTGAGTGGATGAGTAACCGAGGAAAACACATTTGATGGCTCTAGGGTCTAGCTTGTTACGGAAATTTCAGGAAATCAAGATGAGACAACAAAGACAAAAGAACACAAGAATTTGGTAACCCAGTTCGATCACGATGATCTACGTCTGGGGGCGCTGCCAAGCCAGGAATTTTACTATAAAGTACGCAGGCACATGTTAAAGTGAGAATACAAGGATATTTATAGCCTATGCCTATGATAATAATATCCAAATCATATCTTTAAATCTCGGATATTATCTCTGAATCATGTCTAAATCATATCCCTAAAATTTAGGATATAATCAGGCTTCATATCCTAACAATCTCCCACTTGAAGACTGATTTCATCTTCCACACATACCTCATCCAATCTCCACTCCCCACCATTCGGTGTTCTGATTCGAATCATTCCTTTACCTACAATTTTCAGTGTCTCATCATCTCCAAGATAGACAACACCAAAATTACCTGTGGTATAGGATTCTATGATTCTCGAATCACTGCATGAGTGGAATGACGCTCCTGAGTCCAAAATCCATGACTCCATTGGACTGTTGACGCTCAGAATCAGAGCATCGGATATCTTCTCCGTTGCGTTTGCTGAACCTTGATCCTTCTCCGGCGCCCTGCACTGTCGTTTCAAGTGCCCCTTGCAGTTCCAATATACCATCTGACTTGCATCTTCCTTGTCCTTATTCTTCGACTTCAATTTTGACCATTCTTGATGTTCACCCTTTCCTTTTGCCTCAAATCTAAATTCAGTCGAGACATTCTCCCAAAGGATTAGTCGAACCGCACTCATCGTCTTCCTGTCGATCTTCTTGTATTCGGCTTCATCCATGTTTTCGGATTTCTCCTTCAATACCGCATCTAGATCTTTACCATACATGTAATCTTCTATCTGCATATTTCAGAAATCGAAGTTCATACCATTGAATACCTTGACAACATGACGATCACCCATCTTGACTCCAACAAACAAACCCAAGGCTCACTTGATATGAGAGCACATCTCTGATATCTTCTCCGCTGCGTTTGCCGAAACCCTTATCCTTCCTTGCCTACTTTGCACCGCCTATCACAAAGGGACCCGTTGCCTGACCTATCAGTCGGGACCGACCCAACACCGCCAGGAGACTTTCGACACAAGTTACCTCCGCAGGTCACAAGGGATTCCACAGTCACAATCAATATCCGATGCCTCCCAGTCCACCTTACCAACGAACCAGGCTCTGATACCACCTTAAAATATTTTGCGAAAACTCTAAAGCTTACTTCTTGATAATCAAAATAAGGGGCCTATATATAGGCAACCTAAAACAAACTCGATAGACTCAAATCTAAATAATGTAATCTAATGGATATAACCAAATCTAAATCTAAATCTAACAAATCTAAAACTAAATATCTAAAATATCTCAACAACAATTCTGGTTGTAGATGGATGACATACTTATATTAGGAGATGCCTTAAGCAGTGTTGAGAGTGTGAAAACATTTGTCTTCAAAGCCATTTTGTCACAAAAGACATAGGATCTGTTTCTTTCGGTCTGGATTGGGTTTGGAGGTTTTGGTTTTTGATTGAAACAATATTTGATGTGATGTTTTGTGGAAGGAAAAAATATATATTTTTTTTAGAAAACATAAAATCCAAATAGTAAAAATCAGTGGAGAAATTGGAAAGGAACTAACCATAAGGCCTCCTAGATATGTTATGGGAATTGAAATAGCTCACGGAAAATATGGGATTTCATTATCCTAGCGCAGATATGCCATTGATTTGCTTATCGAAACCTGACTACTTGGTGCTACACCAGTTGACACCTCAATATAGAATGGCTCTAGCCTATAGGATGAATCAGTCAGTGATTCTAACAAATAAATTTAGTATAGAAAGCTTGTTGAAAAGCTAATCTACCTTATCATTACTTGGCCCTGACATTTCCTATGCTATTGGTGTATTAAGTTAATTTATGGAGACACCTCGTGAAGCTCATTAGGAAGCTGATCTTTGACTATTGAGATACATAAAAGAGGGTACTTGACAAAGGTTTGTTATTTAAGAGAAACAAACACTTGAAAGTAGAAGCTTATTATGATGCTGAGTAAATTGGATATAAGAATAACTGGAAATCTACTACTGGTTATTGCCCTTATTTGGGAGGAAACCTTGTGACAAAAAGAACTAGGAAACAACCAACAATAGCTCAATCTAGTACTGAGGCATAGTGCATAGCAATGACTCATACAGTCCGTATGTGATTAAGAAATCTTATAGGGAATCTAGGGTTTGACTACCACGAGCCTTTTAAAGTGTTGTGACAATTCGACAAGAATCCACATTGCAAGTAATCCAGTCTTATATGAACAAACAAAACATAAAAATGTGTGGTCACTTTGTTCGTGAGGCAGTCTTGAGTAGACGAGTTATCACTTTGTTTACTCCTATGAAAGTAGTTGATGTCCTCACGAAAGCACTAGATGCCAAGTGGTTCAAGAGTTTTGTAGCAAGTTGGGAATGCGTGATATTTACTCCAGCTTGAGGGAGTGTCATTTCAAGCATTAAATAGAATATATGTATCTTAAAATAAAATATAGTTCATTGTAGCTAGATTAGGTTTATTTGATTTATTGTACCTAGACTAGGTTTATTTTTTTCCTTGCTTATATGTGTCGATAGGAGTTATATGTATTGTACCCAATTCATTGTAAATTGGATATAGAAGATATGCCTCTTCCTTTTTCCTTTTTTTTTTTTTTTTTTTTTTTTCTCTTTGACACATAAAATAAAATATTGTCTAAATCATTCTGCATGTAGATGGATGTTGCCTTGCAAGTTAGATAATCTTTCCATTTGTTTTATATGGAACAAGAATTATTGAAGTTCCATCTTCATATTCTGTTGTATATATCTATGATGCAGTGGATGGATAGTGTCCTTGCAAAGGAAGAAGCATTGAATTTCTTTCATGATGAGTTTCGTTGCCCTATTTTTGTGAAGGATCTTGTTTCTATCATACAAGTCTTGACTACCAAATGGATCTCAGGTACAAGGCATCTGTGAGACTATAAAAGCATCTTTACTCTAAAATACATGATTGGTTTATTATTTGATCGTCTGCTTATATAGACTTTCTTTTAAAAATTAAATATTAAAAGCAAACATAATTTCCATCTCTTGTTCTCACCAAATCTACCGTAGAAAATCTACAGGAATTTTGTTTATTGCTTCCAGGATTTCCACATATTCATGGCTTAGGCTCCATTTACATGTGATATTTGGAAATTTTGAAAAGTAGTAAAAAGTTGAGTATTTGATGTAATGTTTTTTTAAAAATAGTACTATAGATGAATAGTGACAAAAGTTACTTTATGGGTGTATGTAAACAAATCCTTAGTGTTTGTAAAATTGTGTAGGCTTTTGTTAACTTAAGAAGTTATGAAAATGGAGTTCTAGAATATATTAGATTGTGAATATATATATATGTGTGTATATATGTGCATATGTTTAAAATTAAACTTAAATAAAATTATTCTTTAGTTACATGGTGAAGTATGGAAATTTCCATGCGTGTATAGAAAGTATGGAAATTATTCTGATAATTGCTTTGTTTGGATGCAGTTTTGGGCTGTTTCTGTTGTGTAGAATAATGTCGTACTCCTGTTTATTCATATAGCAATTACTAATGAATTCTTTTAATATATGTGACTCCATTTTGCTTTTAAGTGTTTACTTGTGGGTTTCGTAAACATTTTCTGCTACTAAAAAAACATCATATCTAATATCTATTTTTTATTTAAAATATTGTATTATAAATTTTATATTTAAAACATCACATCTATTTTTCATTCCAATATTTACTGTTTTCAAAACAGCTAAATCATGGACATAGTTTCAAAGACATCTAAACAAAGTTTGTGAACAAAATTTATAGTTAGCTTTAGGACACGAAATTGATTTTATAGAAGGGAGTCATTGTCTAATTATATTTTTGGTATTGCTTTTTGGTCTAGTAAGATTCATCCAAATATGTAGTGTGTGTATATATATTTGGAGTAAATTAGTTATATATCGATAGATATATATATATACTTGGCGAACGGAGGCAAATTCAACACCGTGCTGATTTTGAAATACTGTCTTCTTTAGTTCAATATACTTATTTATATATGTGTGAAATACCTGTTAATCTCAGACAGTGTTAATAGCTATCAATCTCTAAAATATTATAACAGGATGACTATATTTAAAAGCTTAAAAATATACCTATAAAAATGATTACTTATGCTAAATCACAACAAAAATACATTAGAGAAGTCTATAAATTAATATTGTTAAACTAATAAAATATCAAAATATGTGATCATAGTTAAAAAAATATGATAAATAATTTTTTTTCTTATTTCCTCACTCTAACTATTCTTGTAGAGATATTCATTATTTGATAAATATTTTAAGTCAAATGTCCACAAAGGATTCTATAATAAATTAAACTATTAGTGAATTGATTAGCACTAGAATATAATGTAAATACAGGCTCTCACAAATAAAAGTAGACAAGTTTCTACTCGCCGATTCTAAAATGAAGCTGTCGCTGCTATTGAGTAAATGCGGAGTTACAAAGCGACGGAAGCAGTGGACCGCTACTCCGCTATGCAATACTGTCAAAGCGGGCTATGACAAAATATATAGAAGTTTTTGTTTGTGCATGGTGACTGAAGTTGTTATACAATATGTTGAATGTTAAAAATATTGTTCAGTAATTCCTTTTACAAAATTATTTTTCATGTATTGTTTTTTATATAGTATTGAATATATTTTATTTATTATGTGTTGACCATAGTTATTCGATATTCTAGTTTCAAATAATATGAAATGTTGATTCAAGTGATAGTAAAAAGTTGGATGTTAATTAAAATAGTGCCAGAAACCTCCCCTTTTATGCTTTCTCTTGGCTCTTCTTAGGATAAAAAACAATAACCAAACACAAACCCGGTGAAATACTCCAGTTTTATTTAGTAAATGTTTGTGCTGGATTGTTATGGTATTTCTGAATTGCCCAACCATCACATATAATTTCTGCTTTTATTTAAAACAACACATATTGTGTTAAATAAAAGCATCTAGCTGTGTTGTATGAATATTAGAGCTGGCAATGGGTCGATTCGTGTTAGGTTGAATATTTTAAACGGGTACTCAACCCTAACCCAACTCGTTTATTATCGTATTGGGTTCGTGTTGACCCATTTATTATCGTGTCGGTTTCGGGTTGACTCTTGTCGACCCGTGTACATAATTAAATCGAATTTCTTGATTTAAATTAAATAATTTTTTGTTGTGTTGTTGTGTTATGTTAGTTTTTATTGGTTTGAGCGTAAATTATGTTGAATTATTTAAAATTGAACTTAGTTTAAATTAATTTATGAGAAAATTAATAAATTATGATTATTTTACATATATAATAAATATATTAATCAATATTAATATATTATAATCGAATTGTCGTGTCGGGTTCGTGTCAACCCGTATACATAATCGGATTGAAATATTTGACCCAAACCCAATTATTTTGTGTCGAGCCGTGTCGGGTCAGTTTTTGCCGACTCTAATGAATATACATTTTGTGTTAAAATTAATTGTAGTATATTTAGTATGTGACTATGTCGTGCTATTAGTTCATGTATTACACTTGTATTACATTAACACAATTTAGGTATTGTCTATTTTTATATCGTGTATTGTTTGTCCCTATATCTATATCGTGTGATGTATGATTATATGATACTTCTGTGCTACATTTATATTTTCTTAATATAAAACATATGTGGCCTCTCTCTATATTGTACTGTCAAATTATGTATTAATATAATTTATGCATTGTGTGTCTATTTATCATTTGCTGTTAACACTGTTGAATTCGATAATTTAACACAGTAGTCGCCGCCATATTTGTGTCGAGATCTTGCAATTGACACTGCTTTTGCAGAAGGTAAGGAGATGCAGTTGCTGCTAAATGCTGGTGGGCCAGACAGGGTTTCGCGGGTAGGAATGGCTGAAGCTGTCGCACACGCTCGAGGTTATAGTACCTCATCGATCAAACCAGTGTCTGCATCCTCGGTGCAATTCTGTCCCTATACACATTTCACACAAATTATATATATATATATATATACTTGTATCAGAATTTTTAGATTCGCCAAGAAGTAGAATTATTTCAACTCTGTGCACAACTCGATTCTCTCTTGTATATTTAGGTGGATCGGGGTGTGAAGTCACCTTCGGATATATCAATGGACATTACGAAGCTGGTTCGGATGACGGGCATTTCTCCAACTTGTTACCGTGACGGTGTCAGGCAGACTCTTGAGGTAAATGCTGCTGCTACTGCTTCTTAACTAAATAACCACCAGATAATACCATTTCGCACTACTCTATCCTTTCCCCAAGGGATGATAGGTCGTTATTAACACAAATTTAAAAAGATTAAAAACAGAAAAACAAAAAAAAAATCAGTATATTGAAATTCTTTTGTATGGAAAATTTGTATACCACACCGTAACTTCTGTGGTATGATTTATCGTATAATCATGTTGTTTATACTGAAATTAATTTTGTTTGTGAGAATTGCAGAGACCCAATGGTATATTTAGTTGGTGAATTTTTTTATTATTATTATTACTATTTTTTAGTGAGATTAGTAGTTTGGACAATGAAGTTTTGAGATAAAATAGTGCAATTTTACATTGAGGGAATGAATTAGTAAAAAAAGAACATAATATAATTGCTTAATATGAATATAGGTATGGTTATCCTATGGTGTCACAGTGAAAAAAAGTCTTACCAACACTGTTTCAAATTGTTTTTTATTTCACAGTCCTGCTGTATCAAATATTTAGGGTGTTGTTCTTTAGGGTGGTGTGGCGAAATTTGTGTTTTGGTTTGGTTTTTATTTGAATTTTGAGATGGATTTGAATTTATGTATTCTTTTGTGTTTAGGTTTGGGTTGGATTTGAAGAGTTTTAATGATTTGATGATAATGAATATATGATAATGAATATAATAATGTATACGTATATTAATTTGTGTAATTTGATTATAAATTTATATTATATCTATATGTATATTTCTAAATTTTTATTTATTTGTATTATAAAATAATTTATTCTTTATAAAATAATATATATTTTATATATTTTATTAAATTATAATTATTATAAAAAATTTAATTTATATTTATAATTTAAAGTAAAAAAAAAAAACCATGATGTTAGGTTGTCATTTTGCCCCAAAAACGGGACAGAGTTATTGAAAAAACACTGTAAATGTCCCTTTATTGAAAAAACACTGTAAATCAGCCCAAAATTAAGTTGGAGAAACACATCTTATATATATATATACTCTTATGTACTTTTATATTTAATAAAATAATTTGTATAATTATGTAAGGATTGTTATCATAAAAAATAATAAATATAAAATTATGAAATATACAAAAATAATTGATAAATATATTGCAATATATATATTTATCAATGTGATATATTAAGTTGAAATTGCTCAAAAATTTTACTATTTAATTAAGTTTTTAAAATATCAAATTAAATAATTATTTTTATTTTTTATAAGATATTAAAAAATAATTTTAAATCAAAATATTTCTTCCGTACAATATAAAAATGTATTTTTTTTTATTTTGGTTCATCTACGTAATGTCTATTTTTATAAAAAAATAATTATATATTTTGATGATATCTTAAATTTTATAATATATAATTTTTTTAATTTTAATTAAATTATTTAATTATTTTAATATTAGTTAAATTATTTATTTATTTTAATTTAAATTTATAATTATTAATATATATATTTTATATTGCATAGACAATCGTTCACATTCAAAATTCTAATATTTCTCCAAACTTAAATTCAATCTAATATTGGTAAATTATATACGCTATTTGTGTTTTAATTTAATAGCATGATACCCTGTATAGTTAAAAATATATATATATATATATCATCTTGACTCACTCTATGTTAAAAAAAAATAAATGTGCATTTTTTCACACTTAACGGATTAATACAGGTATAAATAAAATATTCTTTCAAATATCTTTCACCAAATCGTTCGTTCAACCCCTTTTCCGCCTCCGTTCTCTCAACCCAAATTTTCTTCTGTCATGCGCCTGAGATATTTGACGAGTGTGTCTTTTTCGTCGCTATGTTTCCATTTCTTGTTCGTCATTGGAGTCAATTTCGCGGGAAAAATCTCGCCATCAATTTTGCACTTCCTCCGGAGATTTTTATGCTCCTAGCTTTATAATACAATGTTTGATATGCGAATTTTTTTTTTAAAATGTGAATTTGTGGTTCAATTTTTGGTAGGACTTAATTTTCTTTAACGAAATTGGTGTATTTATGTTCGTATTTATTTAGGGCTCGATCTTTGTTGTGATTGTTTTGGTCTATGGTATTAACTAGGCAGCCCACTTAATTTCCGTGATGAGTTTTTAAATTACTTTGCTTTCTTTGTTATTTGGGTTAGGCAATGTTGATGCGATGATTGGGAAAGGCGAGCATGGGATGAAGATACGGCAACGGGTGACGGGGTAAAATAGAGCGTCAATCAAATTATGAAAAATCCTATTAGTGATGTAATGGAAAATGGATATGGCAGTGTTTGAGATGATGAGATTGCGGATAGAATGAATGTAGGGCCTAGTCAGACCATTGGGGCAGAACCTTCTAACTCTGATGACAGCGACTTTGAGGAGGGTGCCGAGGAGTTAGATGATCCCTTTTGGATGTACGATGAATTTGATAGCTCAAATGACGACGACATATGTATATAGTCTTATTATATTATCCTTTCTTGGTTCTTTAACTTTGCAAGTTGCTGAACTTTTTTATGTTAAAATTGTTAGGTGACTATGATATTGGATTTTATGTCGTCAATGGAAATTAAGTATTAATTGTGATGGGTGTGTTTGTTTTGTTAAATGGTTGGAAATGAAATTTTTTTTATGTAGAGTATAGAAAATTGTGTAGAGAATTTAAAAATAATGAATATGTGTAGTGTATTAATTTATTTAAAAAAACTTGTGGAAAAAAATTAGAAAGAACACACCTGGAGTCTTTTGATGAAAAATGGTGTAGATTGAATATTGCGAATAAATGAAAATAAAACAGAAATATGACAACTTTTTTTTCTTAGGAGATTAAATAGGCATTGAAATGTTATGATATGTGTGTAACTCTTGTTGTTTTTTATTGATTTATTGTGCAACTGTGAGAAAATTATAAAAATATATAGAAGCTTATAGAAGAGAAGTATTATAGCTGCTCCTAGTTGTAATCTTTTTTTTATTATTAATATTAGTATATTTCACCTTACAATTAATTGACTAGAAGTTGCTCCGTATAATGAGTATAGATTCAATTGTATGCAATTTATTTTATTTTATTTTTTTCAATAAATACTTAGGGAAAGAATTTTGAAGTACATAAGGGACAACTCCGCAGAGACAATTGAATCTTTAACATGAAAAATAAGACCCGACATGGATATTGAGGTCAGCAAGTACAAAGTGTATTGTGCCAAGAAACATGCAATGGATAGTAGTACACAAGGTTATATGACTATTGCGACACTATTGTGAAGCACAACCCATTGAGTTCTTGCATCTTGAAAGTTGATAGTAGTTTGACACCGCCGATAGTACAAAGGATGTACCATTGTTTGAAGCCGTTGAATAGAGGATTTCGTGAAGGTTGCAGGCCACTAATCAGGTTAGATGGGTGTTTCCTTAAAGGTATGTACAAGGGGCAGCTTCTGTCCGTTTTGGGGAAGAATAGAAACGACAATATTTATCCGATTGCAACAGCGTATGTAGAAATTGAGAAGTTTGATAGTTGAGATTGATTCTTGAATTTGCTACTAAGAGATTTGGGTGAACATGGAATGGGGACTAGGCCTTTATAAGTGATCAACATAAAGGATTAGTTGAAGCTATTGGGAAGCATGCCCCGAACGCTGAGCATCAATTCTGTTTAAGCTATATGTATAATAACTGTAAGAGTAAGTATAAGGGTAAGGAGTTGAAAATGTTATTTTGGAAAGCAGCTCAACTTACAATGCAAATGAGCATAAATTTATAATGAAAGAAATTTTCGAGGCTGATCCGAAGGTTAGTGAATCAAAGAGCGCGTTTGAATGGTTGGCCAATATTTCAAAACATTAGTAGGCTAGAGTGTACTTTCCCAAGAAGACCAAATACGACGTTCTTGTGAATAATATCAGTGAGTCTTAAAATCACTACATAATGTCTGTCCGAGATCCTCCCATCATAGAGATGTTTGAGTGAATTCGAAGAAAGTGCATGACTAGAATACAAGTGAAGAAAGAGAAGATGGTTAAGTACAATGGTCAGATATGTCCGAATATTGTGAAAAAAGATTGAACTACAATAGAAGATCAGTGAGGATTGTTATCTTTGTTGGGCTGGAGAAAACAAGTACGAGGTAATGTACTGGAAGAACAACCATGTTATACAACTTCAGGCTAAAAACTGCACTTGAGAGATGTTTCAACTCATAGGATATTTGTGTTTCCATGCAACGATAGCGATCAGCATGCACAGAAAAGACCCTGATCAGTATATTGACATGTATTTCAGCCGAGAGTTGTATTTGAAAGTGTATAGTCATTCGATTAATCCGGTTCCCAGAATACATAACTAGGATGAGTCGTTGTTAGAGTCAGTTGATCCTCCAATCATTAAGAAAGGAACCGGGCGGCCGAGAGATCGTAGAGGCTTGATGCGAATGATGTTAAAGATAAAAGTAAAACATCACGACAATAACCCACATACACCTGCACAATTTGCTTTCAACAAGCCAACAACAAACGGAGTTGCAAGAACCTGCACACCTAAATTAACATATCCAGTAGGTGTGTTCTATTATGGCTAAGAAAGTTGCACACATTCTTAATTCTCGTGTTGGTTTCTTTTATTTATTGAGTCCGAAGTTTTATGGTTTCTTTCATGCAAAAATAAACGGCATGTTTGGGTATTACTGAAGAACTTCAAAGCTCCCAGCAGGTCTGTTTTCTATCAATTTTAACTTCTCAATATATTCATGGTTTGTAAGCATTTTGCTGTTTCTAGACCTGCGTACTGCAAAAAATAGCAACATGGCCAGACTTCGGGCATAAATAATCCAAAAAGCGAAAAAAATATATCATCACTTGATCAGACCAACAATACATCTGTTCCACTAGCTACACAGGTATTTTGTTTTGCTTTGTTTTTTATTTTTTATATATAGCACATAACAAAAAAATTTATTCAATAAATATTGGTAATCAGATGATAGTGTTTTTTCTAGCATCCTCGTATTAAACCACCATGAAAGCAAAACAGACGCAATCAAATAGTGAAGGTATAACTTTTGAACAACGGAATAGCGACTTAACACAAATTGATGGGAATAATTTAACTTCAAGAGTGTCTTCCTTCTCCACTCAGCTATGTAACACAAGGCTCTGGTTCAAACCGAGAACCTCGACAGGTGTGTCAAACTAAAAGGCCAACATGGGTTCGGCTCAAAGTAGTTGAGTTGTAATCTCTTGATGTGCGATGGGTTGGAATTCAAGTGTGACGTATGTTTGTAAGTATTGTCTACTTTTCGGGGTCCGCAACTAGGTAGTATTTTGTCTACCTTTTTTTATTTTTCTGTGATGGTTATTTCATAGTTGTCTACTTTCTTAAGGTATGCTTCCACGCAGCCTATTATGGGGAATTGTGCCATTATTTTTGTCTATTTTCAACTTGGTCTATAATGCTTATGGATTGTACTGTTTCATAATTTCTTAAATTTTGTGTGAACCATTTCAAGGATTTAGATTTTGGTAGAGGGATGACATCACCAATACAAACTCACCTGAATGTATATAATATACATTGTTTGCTTCAATATGTTTTATGCAGCCACAACATTTAGCCTTGGTGTGTAAATTCTAGCTTGAACTTTGCCGCCAGCTTTTGCAAATACAATACATAACAAATACATTACATAATGAACTAAGCATGTGCAAAATCCATAACAAATTTAAGCTTGAACTTGGTTGCAAGCTTCTGCAATATACAGGTGCTATGTGCTATATAAGTAAGTTAAGACATGTAAAGTCATTCTTATAACATTTAGCTATAAAATTTGTGGAAGCCTAAAATTGCTAATAGAATATTTCCATTGTTCAAATTTCATTCTCACACAATTTGAAATATTATGAAAACATAGTCAAATTGTTCATAAAATCAACCAACTAAGATCATTCTCCAAACAAGTATATACAACATCTAATACAACATATAACATACAACTACATGTCTTCAATATATCACACGATTTCTAATACAAAATAAAATGTACGGTCATACATCTTAGAATAGTGTAATAACTTGATCATATCATCTGTATTTTCAACTTACTTAATCAATGTTACATCCGAATATTACAATAACAACAAGGATAGACACCCTTTTTTTTTTTTTTTTCAAAATGATGCACCTAAAGATTCATTTCTTCACATAATTTGATCAACTACGCAAGGTCTTTATACTCACGTACTTCTAAATTAGGCATATTCATCCCTGAAACAACTTTATCTTCATCGAACTCATATAATTTGTGCGAGCTTCCTGTATTCTTTAATGGTGGATTCAAATGTTCCAACCAACAAAATAAAAAATTATTTTGCCCAAGTTTACAATTGCAAAATAATTTACCTTCAGTATCTTTTATAGACCTAATAACTTTTATAGAAGCATATGTTCCACATCGACAAAAACGGATTCTTGTATCTCAAATCTAATTTTCTATTGTTGGTTCTATGTTTCGCCTTTGATGAACTACTAGACATAACTACTTTCATCAAAACTTGGACAGTTATAAAAATCATTTATCAAATCACAAATACAGACCAGATATTTACTGCAACATAATTACTTCAATGAACTTTTCTTAAAATAAAAATAAAAAATTTACATTCAGATTACATAGCTTTTATTTTTATATATTATTCTGATTGCAAATAAAAAATCATTCATAAAAAGAATGATTACATTGAGTTTATTTTTTCTAAAATTCACAAAAACTAAATTTTATAATCAAATACAAACCAATCAACATAAGAAAAAATTGCAACCTAGTGCAAAATTGTCTCATTTTAAAGTAATATGACATGAAAATCACACAAAATTCACCAATAATTACATTCTCACAAACGAATTTACAATTGTTTCTCTCAATCCAACGCATTCGCAAATATTTCACCTCCTAAACAAAAACTTAACTTCAACTAGTACGCGAAGTATAAATTTAGGAACAAAAACTTACCTCCTAATTTATATCGACCACCGTCGTCGATTTTGGAGCTGAATATTAGCATTGGTGAACTCACGATCCTAAGCCCTAAACGCAATCCCCAATCTCGATTTTTCGCTATAATGCGGGGAGGATATATTAGTCATTTTAAATAATATACCAAAATTTATAAATGCATACTCGTATATACAATGCATTCTTCTCAATTTTCATCGGTTTACAATATTTGGGATCCTACTCTTAATTCTACAAAAACACAAATATGTTTGATATTATTTCTAAAATAGAAAAAAAAAATTGCACTTTTAAAGTAAAATATATGTTGACAATAGATTTTACCCTTTTTATTTTTTTTTTCAAACACCCTAAAAATCAGGCCCGGCCTTGAGCCAGGGCGAAATGGACCTTATCCAGGGCTCAAGAGTAAAATGGGCCTAGAATATATATATATATATATATAGATATGTACACTATTTGTGTGTTTGTTTGGGAGTTTAGATTTTAAGTTGGGATTTGAATAGTAAAAATTTTGAATTT